TCCATGACAGCTCTTTTTCTTCAAAGGTTATATTTGGCCTAGACCTGAGTTGGGATGACATTCTGTCTTCTTCAAAACTAATGTGCATGGGGCTGGGGAGAGGGCTCAGTAGAATAAGCGCTTCCCTGGCAAGCACAAGGGCCTGAGTTCAATCGCTGGTTCCACCAAAAAAAAAAAAGTGTGCATTTGTAAAATCAAACACTCCCACCAGGTGACCCTACACACACACACACACACACACACACACACACACACAGAGCCAGATCCTTTTATTTTTTTCCATAATTTTATTGAGAAATAAATAGCAATGAGACAGTTTCAAATCAAATTGGTAGGATAGTTTCAATAATTAACACAGTGCATACTGTCTTCCTAGTGGTATTTGTTGTACAAGATGCAGACATGGTATCCTATTTACAAACACTATTAGAACAAATCACTCTATTCATTGAATTAAGAGAATGTAGCTATATATCTATCCTAACCATTTTGAATACACAGATACAAAATGGACATTCATCTGTATCCCCCATTTTATCTAAGAACCATATTTAAGTATTATAGGTGTGTGAACTCAGCAAAATATTCCAAAATAGTCCAGTAGTCCATAATAGTATTGGGTCTTCCGCATGACTGGCAATGTCAGAAGTTGTTGACCTGAGTCCCCTACAGCTCAACATAACGTCATGGCTTTACCTGTTATACTTTGTTTTTATACTTTTCTGCTGGATGGTTAAGACCAAGAAAGAGCAAGACCTATGTAACAAGAATTGTAGCTTTTGGGTCTGATAAGGTCAGTCAAATCCCCTCAGGATTTATCCTGAGACCCTGTATCTCAGATTGTAGATCCTTTGTCAGAGTCAGCCATGTGGATGAGTCACAGCCATTGCTTGGCCAATTTGCCCTCTGTGAAAGTCTGAGAAAATGTTTTCTCTCCATGTGACTCTCCTTAGGCACACTCTACATCATTGATTACTTTCCTCTTTGGCCCCCTAATCTCCTTAATCAGAAAATTTGGGACACAACTGAGTTACATGATGTTACTGTACAAGTTCTCATATGTACTGAGTCTTAATTGTCCTTGGAAGGCTAGGGCCAAAGTGTTGTATCCTTTTCTTTTAGTACTGGTGTTTGGCCACTGAGCAACACCTCCCCCCCCAACTCCCAGCTTCTCCCTTTGCTATTTTGAGATAGAGTCTTGCTAGGTCACTAAGATGCCCAGGCTGGGCTCAAACTTTCAGTCTTCCTGCCTCAGCCTCAAAGCATGCTGGGATTAACAGTGTGTATCACCACAGCTGCCTACTTTTTTTTGGTCTTTTGTTTTAGATTCAAAGGTTTGTTTGTTTGTTTTGGGTTTTTGTTTTGTTTTTGTTTTTTGGAGCGAGGGCACCAGGGATTGCACTCAGGACGCTGCGCTTGGCAGGCAGGCACGCACTTACTCAGCTGAGCTATCTCCCCAGTCCTTTTGGATCCAAAGGTTTGAACATCATCATACTTGCAAACCTCCCAAAAGAGTTGAAACGAACTGAAATGAATCAGTTAGTTCATGGCAAAGGTGGATTTGTCTCTTCTTTCCCTTACTTCACATGAGACAAACACAGATGCACTCTGAGTTTACCCAGCACCTCCAGTTCCCAAACTAGCTAGATTTTTTTTTTTAAACTAGAAGATTTGGGGAGAAAGTTGAAAGAGAAGATATTTACAGTCTTTCGTAACTTTCTAGCCCCTTTACTGGATTTTGCCTCAAGGCTGCAGCGGATGCGCCACCCCCACCATTCCTCAAATCCTTTCTGTACAGAGGGTTTGATCCCGGGACATTCCACCACTGAATTATACCTCCATACTCCTTTTAAAATTTTCTTTTTTAATTTTGAGACAGGATCTCGCTAAGTTGCCCAGGCAGAGCTTGAACTTACAGTCCTCCTGCCTAAATCTTTCTCAGGGCTGGGATTTTCTTCCCTTTTAAAAAAGGAGAGAATTACACAACAGTATATTTCTATTAAAATACAGGAACACTTACAAACATGACCACACTACCATTGCCACATCAAAGAGTACCAATGATTTCATAATAGTAAATATTGAGACAGTGTTCTGATTTCCAACGGTTTCGTAATGTCACATGGTTATTAATCTCTAAAAATTCAAAGTCCAGGCCTGGCAAGATAGCTTAGTGGACTAAGTATCTGCTTTGGCAAGATCAGCGCCCAGGGTTTGATCCCTGGTCCCACATGCCATGCCGGCCCTGCGTAGTGAGACCCTGTACCAAATATATAAATAACAAGAAAATTCAAAGTCCAAATAAATCCCACACTTTGTGATTGTCTAATGTGCCTTTGGTTTTGTTTGTTTGTTTTTTAATGCACCAGTATTCCTTTTCATCTCTTTATTTTCTAGCAATTTATTTATTACCGAAACTCAGTTGTAATGGGGGCATAGTGACATACACCTATGAATTCAGCACGGGGGGGGGGGGCGCTGAGGCAGGTGGTTCCTAAATTTGAGCTCAAACTGTACGACTCAAGGGGCCAGGGAGATGGCTCAGTGGAATAAGTGCTTCCCTGGCAAATGCAAGGGTCTGAGTTCAATCCCCGGTTCCGCCAAAAAAATAAATAAATAAAAAAAATAAAATAAAAATAAAAAAAAATTAAAAAATGTACGACTCAGCTGCGGGAGACCTGATGGGAAGATTGAGGCTCAGTTGGCCTCCTCTGTGAGCAGCAGGAGAGAGAAAGGCAGCGGGCAAGCGTGCTGACACCGTGCAGCCTGGGGAAAGGCTCCGTGGGGAGAGCCTATTGTTTACCTGGACTGACACCACGGGTGTGGGAGGGATACGCTAGTAGTTTTCCGGTGTCTGAGTGAATAAAGGGAGGGTGAGTGAGTCAGTCATTCAGGGCTCTTTGTCCAAGCGAGATAAGACCCCTTTTGCCCCACATTTTAACCTAATTCTGTGTCTCTTTGTTTTCCACCCTTGTCCTTCAGCCAGGTGTGAAGCTCGTAGGCGGGCTCCTACACTCTGACATGCTAAGACTCTGCTTCAAAATGAAAAGGCAGGGAAGAGCTGGTGATGTAGGAAGGGCCCTGGATTTAATCCCAAGAAAATAAAAGGAAAAAAATTCATTTGCTTATCTAGTACTTTTCGCATAACGGAGTTTAGCAGCATATCTGAGGTGCAGGTCAGACTGTTCAGAAATTTGGTTGTAGGCAGGCTGATCTCTATGCCTAAGTCATCAAGTAACTTGAATATATTAATATAAATCCCATTCGCTCTTTTTTTGTGAAGAAACGCTCTAGATTATTCCCTAAACAGCGCTTCCATTTATTAAGCGCCCTCCCTATTGCTCATTCCCAGTTAAGCAATTGTCTTTACTTTTGAGGCGTGGTGGGGGAAGGGGGAAATGTCCTCCAAGTCCATTTCCTCTAATAACCACTAGAGGGGGACATTGTCTTTATTATAGTTCTAATTTAAATTGCATCAAAATTTGCTTCTATGTCTTTGACACGTTTAACTTTATTACCTAATTTGACTCACTTCTAATCTCATAAAATAAGGCAGTGTTAACCCAAGTAAGTCTGTGTCTTCCGCATCCCTTCTATCCTTAACTCCATTCCCCATCCTGACCATCAGGCGGCGACATTACCTAAGGACCAGAAGAAGAAAGGAAAAATAAGTGAAACCGCCAAAGAAAAAGCAGTTTCACGGGCGAGAAGACTATTAAAGACGGAGACAAACGAGTCATTTTTTAGTTCGTATCCAACTCACGCCCAAGGTCAGAACTGTGTAAAACACCACAAAAGGGCCTTTCAGGAGTGGGAGAGGCCGCCCCGGGGACGTGCGCACAATCCCCTCCTTGATTCCGCGGTCGCACCGCCGGGGCCAGGGCACGCTCGTGCACGCGCGTGTGAATAGCAACGGGGCAGCCGCGGGACCTGCGTGGGCCGGGCGTGGGTCAGGCGGAACCCAGCACTTCCTGGATAACTGCTTCCGGATGCGCGATCCAACACCGCGTTGCCCCTGGCGCCTTTGGAGATCAGCCACTCTCTTTGCCCCGCAGGAAACCGGGTTCCGAGGGGGCGGACCGCTCGCGCTTCAGAGTCCCGCACCTGCCTGCAGCCAGGTGCTGGAGCGCAAGACCCTGCTCTCGCCTTCCTTCTACCTCGGATAGAAAGGGCCCACCTGTCGGCAGGTGACACTACAGAGCAGAGATGATAGCTGAATGGGGGGGGGGGTCCTTTGGAGAATCTTGACAAGTTAGGACACCCTGCCTGCCCCGGAAGCGTTGCCCCAGAAAACGGGTGGGACACCACAAAGGTGTAGCGGCTCGCGGGGATCACAGGCCTAGCAGAGCCATCCGTTTACCCGATGCCAGGTTGGGGAGGAATTCTGTTCGGTTTGGAGCGAGGGGCCACGTACGTGAAGAAAACCAGACGGATTTGGGAGGAGACGCAGGAGCTTTCTCCTGCCTCCAATGCAGCTGTCGTTTCCTCTCGGCAAACTAGAGGGGCTGGGCGGAAAGTGGAGGTAAGAGGTGGGCGCACGGCTTGTGCCCCCTCCCCTAAGTCCTGCCCCCACCTAGCCTCGGTGTCCAGGACTCTGGGCTGCAGAGGGCTTTGCAAACACCTCCAGCCTTGATGGCAGAAAGGGGGGCAAGGGCAACGCGCTGTAGCTTTTCGTTTTTCTTTCAGTGATCAGCTCCGCGGCCTGGCACTCCGACCCCTCTTTTCCCGGGCTCTGCTCCCCGCTCCGAGGCCTGCAGCACGCCCGCTCGCCCCCTCCTCCACCCGGGTCGGAGCCGCTCCCCACCCTCGGCCCCCCAGCCCCGCCTCCGCCGCCACGGGGGTTGCACCCAGAACTGAGTGAAATCTACATAGTGCCCGCCCCTCTCGGAGATTATTGGTGCAGCCTCTCCAGTCGTGGCCCGGTGATTGGTGAGGCGCCGGGGCTATTTGCATGCGGGCCGCAGTCGGGTACCCAGCTGTGCGTTCCGCCAGCTCCGCGCAGAAGTTTGCCGAGCGCTTTCTCGCCGGCTGGTCCCGGACTCGCGCTGCGCTTCGCGCCGCCTCCTCCTTCTCCCAGTCCTCCCGCCGCCCTGTTGTCTCGGGAGTCCTGTGGGAAGGTCGGACGCTCCGGGTAAGGACCGTGGAGGTGGACGAGGGTCAGCGCCGGAGAGGAGCGGCAGGGAGCCGTCCCGCTGACAGCTCCGCGTCTCGACGCCGCTGCGCAGGGCCCCGGCTCGCCGCGGGTCTCGCCCCGCTTCCCGTGGCCACCGGGCGGGCGATGCGGCCGCCGAGCCCCGCGGCGCAGAGAGGACGGCAGGCGGCGCGGAGAGCCTAGAGCGCGCTCGGCGAAGGGAGTGGTGAGCATGGAGTGGTGAGCGCCCCTCGCTCGGCGAGGCCGCCCGCCGCAGGCTCCCCATGGCCGGGACGTACAGCTCCACTCTGAAGACGCTGGAGGACTTGACCTTGGACTCCGGCTATGGGGCCGGGGACTCGTGCCGCTCGCTCAGCCTCTCGTCCTCCAAGTCCAACTCGCAGGCGCTCAACTCTTCGGCGCAGCAGCACCGCGGGGCGGCCTGGTGGTGCTACTCCGGCTCCATGAACAGCCGTCACAACAGCTGGGACACGGTGAACACGGTGCTGCCCGAGGACCCCGAAGTGGCCGACCTGTTCTCGCGCTGCCCGCGGCTCCCGGAGCTGGAGGAGTTCCCCTGGACAGAAGGGGACGTAGCGCGGGTGCTGCGCAAAGGCGCCGGCGCGCGGCGTCTGCCCGCGTTCTCGGTGGAGGCGGTGCGGCGCCTGGCGGGGCTGCTCCGCAGGGCGCTCATCCGCGTGGCCCGCGAAGCGCAACGCCTGAGCGTGCTGCACGCCAAGTGCACCCGCTTTGAGGTGCAGAGCGCAGTGCGCCTGGTGCACAGCTGGGCGCTGGCTGAGAGCTGCGCGCTGGCGGCCATCAAGGCGCTGTCGCTCTACAGCATGAGCGCGGGCGACGGGCTGCGCCGGGGCAAGTCGGCGCGCTGCGGCCTCACCTTCTCCGTGGGCCGCTTCTTCCGCTGGATGGTGGACACGCGAATCTCCGTGCGCATCCACGAGTACGCGGCCATCTCGCTCACCGCCTGCATGGAGAACCTGGTAGAGGAGATCCGGGCCAGGGTTCTGGCCAGCCAGAGCCCCGACGGCGGCGGAGCAGGAGGCGGGGAAGTGACCGCGGAGGCCTTGGAGATGGTCATCAACAACGACGCCGAGCTCTGGGGCGTCCTGCAGCCCTATGAGCACCTCATCTGCGGCAAGAACGCCAATGGTAAGTGCGGACGGGGCTGATCTGTTTCCTCAAACGAACCAGCTGTGTATACCAGGCCTCCGCATTTGGTCTGAGGGTGGGATTCATTACATGGCTTTTGCCAGAGATGGTTTGAGATGCCAGGGTTTCGGAGGATAAAATGGGGTTTGATCTTCTTTCTCTGATTTTGCATATTATTATGACTTCCTAGAAGCCGTTCACTGAGTGATAGTCAAACTTTGGACCATACCCTTCTTGAAGCTCTCAAAGAGAGACTTGCTCTCTGCTGCTTTTCGCCTCACTTGGTGAAGTCTATCTAGTTGTATGATTTTTCACCACATTGAGGTTCTGTCCCTGGAGTTCTTGATCGCAACAGCAGCAGCCACCCATGGGTCCAACCCCCCAGACCTAAGCCGTGGATAAGTGGGTTGGGCAGGGAGGGCAGCAACCCGAGGACAGGTACTGGCTGAGTCCTGGCTGCAACCCGAGGACGTGAGCTGAGTCCTGGCGTAGCCGGGTTGAAGGATGCCCAGGGTCAGGTCCCTTCGTGGAGGAGGGAGAGTGAGCGGTGGGTACTTAAATTTGGGTGCCAGGGGAGATGGAACTGATGACTCCTGAAGTCCCTTCACCCAAAAGTGAACCACACAGCGGCACGCAGGGCCCAGTTTTCCAATTTGTCATTAACCTGATGAGTGACTGATTTCAACCCCTTGTTGAACTAAATGAACAATGCTTGTAGCTTACCCAGAAGAAAGGGCGATCCACTCAGCCAACTGCATTAGGGGAATGGTTGAGCATCGCCTTGACATCTACTCTGGGAAAGCAACAATTTGCACTTCTCTGAAAGACACCTTGGCTTTAGTGTAGAGTTGACCTTCTCCCTGGTAAGGTTAGGGTGTGCCTTGCATTGGGCAAGCAACTTGCCTATCAGACTCCAATTTCAGGAGCTGGTACATACATTATTTAAAAGAGACTATGGTTAGGCATCCTTGCAATCTAATTGGAAGGGCCATTTGGGTAGTTTTTAAGGACAGGTACAAGTAGACAGTGGAAGAGGCCAGGTGTACTAGTAGGGAATAAAGGGAATCCAATGCAGGTGTGGTTTGGCGTAATCATAAGAGCTGCAAAACTAACGTAGTAGTAACATAGTAACATGTTAGTCACTTCTCAGGGCTTGTTATATGTTAGGAGCCTATTATAGGTAGTGTGGTGTTGTGTAATATTGGATGTGTATTGGGTTTTGCCCCCATTTCCTGGCATGCTACTCCTAAAATCCTTGAAATTTCTAAAGTTGTAGTGCCTTTGTATTCTAATGAGTTGACTAATAGCAGGCCACCTGTAGGTAGCTTCAGGGTGGGCTGGTCATCAGAAAGAACAGGCAGGACTTTAGAGGACCAGAACTTTCATCCCCAGCCCCAGCCCCAACACCTCCCAGGAGGGAAGAGCAGCCCAACATTAAGTTGGTAACCAATGGACAAGGATTTCATCATAGATATGTAATGAAGTCTCCACTTAAAAATAGGACAGGGCTCAGAGTGTTTCAGGACACCTGAACAAAGAAGGGTCTCTGGAAGGTGCTGTGCCTTCTCCCATACCTGGTGCTATGTTGGTTTCTCTATTTGTATCCTTCGTCACAGCCTTTATCACAGGCAGGTAAATATGTTTCCTTGAGTTCTATGAGCCATGCAAGCAAATTAACCCAGGGGAGGAGGTTGTGGGAACTCTACTTTAGAGCCAGTTGGTCAGAAGTACAGGTAAAACAACCTGGGGCTTGTAATGCTGTCTGGGGAGAGGAGCAGTTTGGAGGCCGGAGATTTCAGCCTTTGGACACGCTGGCATCTCTCCAGCAAGATAGTGTCAGAGTTTCATTGAGATGAGTTAGAGGACATGGGGCTGTGTCAATTGCTTGCTGGCTAGTGGGGAGGAAGCCCTGCCCAGAAGTCTTCTGTGTTGGCGGTGACAGGAGAGCTGAGGAAAACTGGATTGCTGCTCCATGAGGTGTGGAACTGCAGGGTTCTGTGTGTTATATAGAAGGGGCAGCGGTGTGCCCAGAGGCTCAGCTGCTGAAAACTACACAGGGACTAAGTGACAACACTGGAATGTGCACTCCAGAGGGTTCAAGCTTCGCTTCATTAGTCCAGTTTCTGAGGAGAGCAGTGACACACACAGGCTCATTTTGAAGACACTGCATTAGCCCAGTAGCTAACTTGGCCACCCCTTGCTTTGGTATCTCACTTCTGGCACTGCCAGAGGACATGCCTGCAGTGGAAGTGTTTGCCTTTTAATTTTCCTCCTTTTAGGTCAGACTTGAGGTCAGTCTGGAAATCTGGTCGATGATGTCACAGCTGTTAATTGTGCCTTGCCCTCCAAGTTGGTGGTGTCAGCCCTGGGAACACCAACCAGCTCCAGGAGAGGACAAAGGGGCAGAGGGATTTCTGGCTGTTTGTTATGATGGGAAGCCTGACCTGAACTTAAAGAAGTAAAGACTGTCAGACTGAAGTCCTAGCCCTAAAAACAAGGCTAGCATAAAGGTGGACAGTGAGGACAAAGCAAGACAAAACCATGTCTTTCATGCCCAGCCCATGTCCAGCAGATTGAGGAACTTTTTCTAAACATAAGTTGAGGTTAAGAGGCACAGCTGGCTATCTGAAGTACCCTAAAACTGCATGGCGGCCAGAAACTGCTAGAAAACAAGTCTTCATCTAAAGCGCTTACAACCAAAGAGAATTTACTATCGAGGATCAGCACTTCTTGAGATTTTCTTTACAGTGTGGAGTTTTGACTCCATGATTTGACCTCTTCTTTGTACATATTCCTCTTTATAACATTTATGTTGCTTTGTTTGTCTGTTGTTGTTGCTTATAATTTTGGTTTTTATAGTCCTGGGCCTTCTCAATGGGCTACATCCCCCATCATTTTTTATTTTTCATCTTGTGATAGAATCTGGTGACGTCACTGAGTTGCCAGATTTGGCTCAAACTTGTGATCATCCTGCCTCAGCCTCCCAGAGAGCTGGGTTTAGAAGCCTAAGGCATCATGCCTGGCTGTAACAGTTCTTAAGCCATGTTACTGAAGGCAACAGGTCTCCCTTGGCAACAGAGAGCAGTGCCCCCTGGATCTTCAGAGCTAGCATCTCCTCACTACCTTCTGAGAGGCCAGATGACCATTTGTTTCCACTTAGTAACGTGGCTGTCCATTTCTTATACATGCAAACCAGAGGGCGGCCTCACTGAGCAACAACTGGGCTGATTTATTAAGTCCCTTTAGACAAAGTGAAATGAATATTTAGTAGAAAACCAATGAATCACATATGCCTGAGAGCGGACTTCAGAGAGAAACATAAACTACTTAGAAATGGAGAGATCCCAAACCTTTGTTATATGAAAATTACCCCAAGGCCAGCAAGGCTACAGTTTATACAGCTGAAGACCAACTGAGAAAAGGCTACATGTGGGAGAGAGTGTGGTTAGTATTCTTGCCCTGCTGGTCTTCCCTTTAAATTATATATTTATTGTTGTTATGCCTGCTAATTATACAGCATGAACACATGCATTTGACTCAGCTATATAGAGCTCTTAAACTTTTAATGTCTTCCAACCAGGAATTTAAGAGCCTTAATCCATCTATCCTTATCCATTACTCAGAATGCTAGACAAATATGGTTTTCCTCAGCCCAAGACAGATGATAAAAGTTCTCTAGTGTTTATAAGACATCCCAGCTCCACAGAGCAGCAGAAGTTATGTACGGTCTCTCATTTGGTATTGACGTCTAGGATCCCAGGGCAACGTCATTAAGCGATGATATCTCTGTGCTTGCTTTATGCAAGGCAGAGAAACCACTTTAATAGAGTAGTATATATAAACAGAGAGCTGGCAGAAAATAGGAGCCTCTCCCTTCCACAGCCTCTCTCCATCCTTCTCCGTTTGTCAAGAAATTCCCGGCATGTGGGACGCGTCCCTTCTGGATTTCTTCTGACCATTGTTCTTAATAAGCTTTCATGACATTGGAGAAAATCCTCTTCCGTTTCTAGAGTTTCCATGAAATGATAGGACAGTGGCGGGAATGTGCTTATTCCAAAGCGGGATTCAGGGTGCACCCAAGGGTTGATCTAGACAAGTGCTTAAGAGCACGGACTCTGGAATCAGTGTGGGGGTTTGAAGCCCACCTTTGCTAGGTGAGTGACCTGGGCCAAATTTCCTATGTCTCAATTTTGTTATCTGTAAAATGAGTGGTAATAATACCCACCTCATAAGGTTGGAGTGAGGGTGGAGATCAGAGATGTAAAGATCTTAGCTTATAATAAGTGTTCAATAAAGAGCAACAATTCATTTTGTGAGTCTTTGGCACTGACCTGGGGCGCACCATTGTTAAGAGTGCCACTACAGACTGAGGGGTGGAGAGAGATGGGTGTCCTCTCATAAAGCTTATAATTCAGCGCTGGGGAGGCTGAAAAACAGGAGGATCACTGAGTCCGAGCCACATAGTGAGACCCTGTACCAAATACGTTTTTTAAAAAAGTTTATAATCCAGTGAAGATAGGGAAAAGCAAATAAAGATTTACCCTTAGCAGTGTTTTTGTTTCGTTTTGAGGACAGAGAAATAGGGTAGTGTGACTGGGTCTGATTTCAGGCAAGCGCTTATGCCACTGAGCATATCCCCAGCTTTGGGGCTGATTTCAATGCCAGGGAAGACCTCGCTGTAGTCTCATTAGCACAGGCAGTGCTATCAATACTAGCTAAGCACCTTCCAGCCATGAATAGTGAATGAGCGCTTTTCTGCGTTCACTTACTCACCAGTTGAGGCAAGTCTGGACATCTCATCTGCAGCCAAGAAGTAGAAGGGTTGCACCTAATGCAGAGATAAAAACTCTTCAGGCTCTAGGATTCATTTATGAAGGAGACCGTGGGATGGATTTCCACTGACACGTAATTGGCGAAGGAGCGAGGGTCACTTGAGCTGTGAGTGGCGGTTTAATCCGTCTTCACACCTGGGTAGTCTGAGTAGGTTCACAGCTCCCCTT